CTTCAGAAACCTGATTTCTGAAGAAGGGTCCAGACCCGAAACGTCAGCTTTCCTGCTCCTCTGATGCTGCCTGGCCTGCTGTGTTCATCCAGCTCTACACCTTGTTATCTCTGTTTAAATATCAGATATTTATTTCTGATATTTGGAACATTTATTGGTGTTTCCAAGTGATGAAGTACATGGTAGCACTTAATGTATTGATAGGTAAGTTAAAGAAATACTGCATATCAAAGGGACTGAATTGGAGAAAATTAGCCTGACATGGACTGATTGACAGGCAGTTGATGACTACGTTTCCTGATCTTTTGTTTCTAAATTGTCCGTTTTGCTTGTCACGTAGCTGAAATTTAATTTATTGTGCTCTTCAACAGCTTGTACAACGAGGACAGAAATTTGCTTCGAATTAAGGAAAGGGAAAGACGAAACCAAGAAATTCATCTCGACAAAGACCCTTTCCTTGAAAATGCCCCCCTCTTTGGTGAGCCATATAAGGTAAAGTACAGAGCAGGTTAGACTGATTTGGCTTTAGCTTTTTCTAGATTCTGTATTGCACAGCTCTTGGCACCTCTTGTTATCAGTACTGCCACCCGAAGCACATGGAGCTTCTGTCTAAATTTACAGGTTGGGGCTCTGATTCAGTTATCAGGACCCGATATGCAATTTTAATTGGAATCCCGAGCAGGAGAACAGTGACTGGTAGAAGAGGTCCAGGTAGGACAAACTTTTTTTTTTTTTTTTTCAAAAAATTGTCTGTAGCTGTCTTCATGTGGTGAGCCAGGAACAGTAAGAAGATTCTTCTTAGTTTTCCTTGCTACAGGCTTCAACTCAGTCCTCACCCAAAATATTCTACCTCTTTAAATTTTGGAGACCTGTCCTGCGGATGAAAGCAGCTTGCTGTCTCCCAATTTTCGTTACCATCTGACAAGGTAGCGAATCTGGCCAGTTTCGCTCAAGTCACTGAGCGATCTTGCGGAACTGAGGTTTAGTGGTTGAGCTTGGCACGTCCCTAGCCTCATCAGATGTGCCACCTGCTTCAAGATTTGAATGTACCGCACCTCCATTCCCATTTACAAATTACCACAGATGTTTCTGGAGCAACACGAGCTGTGCCGGCCTAATCTGCTAATCTGTTAGTGAGCTAGATGGTTTTCTGTACAATTTTGTCAAGCTTTTCTGCCATTTGAAGGTTTTATTTTGTACAATTACATTTCTAACAACCTTTCCTTTCACTTTCAGCAATTTGAGTAAATCTATCTAGTCCCAAATGCATTAAGCTTGCCTGAGGGCTGATGCACGCGCCAAAGAAATAAATTTACATCCATACTAAAAGTATAAATAATATGCTTGGACTTTCCTATATGTAAATTTTCCTTCAGGATCACTACACTGAGCTACAAGTCTGAAAGATATTTCTAAAATTTGTTCACTTAACAGTTAACTTGCTGTAGTGTTGCAAAATCAGTCCAGATAATGCTTGTTTGCAGGCAGAACGGATCTTTCTGGTCAAAAACCTTTGTAGGATGCGTTTAAAAAGAAATAAATCTTGAACAGATTTTTGAAAAAGTGTCTGACATTTGTAAAAGACTGTGTGTGGGGAAACCCTTTTGTTTTTCTGGAATATTTGCCTCTGCAGAAGTACGTGAACCATAACTAGGCTGTTTAGGGTTGCAGTCATTAACCATGTTTCTGTTTTTTGTGCAGACCAATAAAGGGGATGAACTTTCCAGCCGCATTCAGAACATGCTGGGCAACTATGATGAGATGAAAGATCTGATAAGTAACAAGAGTCATCAGAACTTCATTGGTATACCCAAGAGGGCAGTTCCATTGGTTTCACAAGAAAAAGATAAGTGCTTGCATGGTGCAAAAAGAAGTAATAGTTCACTACAGCCTTCCTTTCACAGCAGCAATCCACGATCAATGGGACCTCGCAGTGCAGCTTCATCAACTGGTGTCAGCTCCTCTGAAAAAAATACTGCAGTGATAGAACAGAATGGCCAAAGTCTCAGTCAGAACACTAAGAGCTACAGCTTATTTCCAAACCAAAGCCAAAATAAGGACACTTGTTATAGCGGCCAGGAAACTTGCAGTAGCCATCGAGTCAGGGGTGACCACCCTGCGGATGCGGACAGTCACAGCAAAGTCCAGTTATCCCATTTGCAACACTTGCAACCACTGTTACCATTGTCCTCACTAATGCAGCCCTTGTCTCCAATAACACCATTATCCCCCTTACATTCCAGCGGGTATACCAATTCCAAACTGCAACAAAATAAGACTAGTCGCAGCAAAGACTGTCCTCCAACAAAATCTCCAAGTGAACAAGAAGTACACTCGGGTGATCCTGAGAACTTGTCTTCTGATCCAAGTGTTCCTGTCCCCAGCCAACATGCATCTCAAAATTTTCCACCGTCTTTACCATCGAAACCAAACATGATACAGCAAAAACCTACAGCGTACGTGAGACCGATGGATGGGCAAGACCAAGCACCTAGTAAATCTCCGGATCTAAAGCCACCTTCCGAAGATTACACTGAGGAGCCATATGGAAATATAGCTGCGATGAAAGCAAGTGCCAGAGCAAAGCTATCCAAACTTAAAATTCCTTCTCAGCCAGTCGAGGTGAGTGCACTGACATTTCTCTTCTGATGTGTAGTTCTGCAATGAACTTGATAGAGGCCATAGTTGCTGGTAAACTGACGTTAGGAGTTTTGCTCTGGTATTCATGATCCAGTGCCATAAGCAGGACTTGGAATTCAAAGAGAGGGCCTGTATCAGAAACAAAATGTTCAATAAATTGTGTATTCCTTCTCTGGTTTTATCTTTTAAGACACAAGCTGTAATTTAAAAGCAAAATTTAATTTAGGAAATGAACAATACATTAATTAACTGACAGCCACATTTTCCTAAATTAGTTAGTCTGGTGATTGGATTTTCAAGTACAATGTAAGCAACCCTCCTTTTAAGATGTGAATTCCAATCTTTTATCCTTCTTTGAAAAATACCGTTCTTTGTTTCGGGGGAGAAAAAGGAACTTGCATTTGTATAGCACTCTACATGTCATAAGCAATATAAAGTATTTTGGGAGTGTAGTGCTATTCTATCTTCAGTTGATACATCTATCTTGTATGCGCAAAACTAAGTTCCACAAGCAATGAGATTAACAAACAAGTTATCAGTTTAGTGATATTGATATTTCTTTAAAAGAAAGATTCACACTTGTATACCAATTTTCACTACTCCTAGATGTCTAAGTGTGCACGGTCAAGAAGCTTTGAAATGAATTTATCATTGTCAAGTTTTCATTCATCAAGATCCACAAACAGCAATATGGTAATGACCAGAGAATCTTGTTTTATCCTGTTAATTGAAGGATAAATATTAACTGGACACTGGGTATGATACCATTGCTTTTCTTCAAAGTGGTGCTACGGTATCATTGTATCATGGTATCATTTTGCACTCACCTGATCAGCAAACTGGGTGTCAGTTTAACATCTCATCCGAAATATGGCATCTCAGAATGCAGCGTTCCCCCAGGAGTGTTGGTCTTGATTTTGTGCTCACTCTTGAAGCAGCGCTTGAACTCTCAGCCTTCTGACTTGGGTGAAATTGCAGACAACTGAGCCGTGGCTGGCATGCAAAAGTCGAACCATGTGAATTTCTTTGTCCTTCCGACAGGGCTTTGGTTTTTAACATCTCATTTGAAAGACATTGGCCTGCATCCCACTTTTCCAAGTAGTCTTGGGATCTCTTGTGGTAGAGGCAGGAAATGGCCTGAAGAGTCAGTGAAGAGAGAACCCCACATCTGTGGGTCTGGAGCCAGTAGGTCAGGCCAGGTAAAGATGGCAAATGTTAGTTCCTGGGAACTGACCAGCTGGGTTTGGATGACAAATGACAATGGTTACATGGTCACCATTGGAATTTAAATAAAAGCTGGACAATTTGTATTTTAAAAATTCAAATTTCACCGTTTAAAGCCATGTCCAAAGTCCATTAAACTGGTTCAGAGAGAGCAAGAACTGCCAATGCTGGAGTCAGAGATAATGGTGTGGAGCTGGAGGAACACAGCAGGCCAGGCAGCATCAGAGGAGCAGGAAAACTGACGTTTCGGGTCGGGACCCTTCTTTGGGGAAAAAAAATTTTTCTGAAGAAGGGTCCCGACCCGAAACGTCAACTTCCCTGCTGTGTTATCCGTTAAATTGGTAATCTGGATTACTAGTCTAATGACATTACTTCTACACTGCCACCGCTAAGCATCTTGCTTGGATAACATAGAAGGAGTTGTGGCTTTACCATGACCCTTGCTGCACTCGGCTGGAGAATGTTTACCAACACTTCATAGCAGTTTGGGAAAAATCTGTGTTTTCCACATGACGAACTGTTTAGCCTTCTTAGTCATCAGAAAAGTTATCTCAGTGGCTGTTGAGATCCCATCTGAACAAAACAAAGTTTGTTTAACTTGTGGGTGGGATGCTTGTACACGTTTTGGGATGTTTTTCAGAAATTGATATATATGTCAAGTGTCTTTGAGCATCTACAAGCCGAAGATGATCTACCTGTTGGATTTCCTTTTGAACTTTAATTTGTACATAATATTTCATTAGAATCCTCAGGGAATCAGGATGGCAGTTCAATATAATGATATTACTGGTACCACCCTCACGAACTGAGGTATACCACACAATAAAAGATTAAAACTCAGATCACAAGGAAGCAGAGTTTCTTATGGTTACTATGATTAATCCAAATATGAATTAGAAATCACAAAGTCTTGTTGATGGAATCTTGGAAAGTTAATTCAATACTTTCTGGGAACAACTTGTGGTGGTGGTGATGTTTTCATTGTAAGTGAAGGAAAAAGGTGTTAATGTCTGAAGTGTACAAATGTGCCCAATACATTGGGGCTACTGGTGAAATTCATTTGTTTTCAGAAGGTTTGGAAATGCTGACTGCCAGAAAGTCTGATGCACAGCTGAACCCTAAAGCAAAATTGTCCAAGAAGATTGTCTTATTAAAACTCCTCTTTTGGATTTCCCTTTTCTGAAGTACTTGCTCTTTTATTTAAAATAAAATAATTGTTCACTTTGAACCAAAAATGCTGCCTGAATTGAGAGTATTGACAGGATCTAGGTGTTTTCAAACCCACCCCTATTTCCTATGTTGGTGTGAAGCTTCCTCCTTTTGACACTCAATAGCTGATAGCTGCCTAATTATTTTGATGCTTACAGTGGTTGTTTATGATCCAGTCCTAAAAGCTCTGGATTCTGATCATTTAATCTCTGTAAATCCAATGAGGGGCTTCTTTACTGGCTTTTGTTGATCATTCATGAATTATATAGTATAAACTGTCATGTTAAAATATGTTGGACACCAATGTTAACCAATCACTTTTATGGTGAAGTTGCAAAACTAATTTAAAAAAAATAAATTTCCCCCCCAAGCCCAAACATTCCTTTTCTTAAAAACACAAAGATATGTTGATGCTGGAAATCAGAAACACAAACAGGAATTGCTGGAAAAACCTGACATCTGTGGAGAGAAAGCAGCGTATTACTTACTTTTGTAAGGAAAAGCTGTATTTGTCTTTTCTAAAGTAGGGCAGATTAACATAAAGGATGATATGATCTGGCACATTCATACTGTTGACACGCACTTCTGAAATACATTTTGTTCCATACTGTTTAAATTGCCCTTAGGACTATATAATGTCATATTATATGTATGTGGAAGCAATGGCCTAGTTGGACTGTAAATCCAGAGTCCAAGATAACGTTCTGGATTTGCATCCTGCCATGGCCGATGGTGGAATTTGAATTGAATAAAAAATCTTTGGAATTAAGAATCCAGTGATAACCATGATTCCATCATCGATTTATTGGAGAAACCCATCTGGTTCACTAATGTCCTTTTAGGGAAGGAAACTACCATTCCTACAGTGTGGAAGCAGGCCATGCGGCCCATTGAGTCCGCACTGACCCTCCAAACTGCATCCCACCCAGACCTACCCCATACCCTATCTTTGCATTTCCCACACTAGACACTATGGGCAATTTAACATGGTCAATCTACTAACCCACACATCTTTGGACTGTGGGAGGAAACCAACACAGATACGGGGAGAATGTGCAAACTCTACACAGTTGCCTAAGGCTGGAATTGAACCCGGGTCCCTGACACTGTGAGGTAGCAGTGCTAACCACTGTGCCGCCCAAGACCTGGTCTGGCCTCTAATTAACTCCAGACCCACTGCAATGTGGTTGACTCTCAACTGTCCTCTGGGCAATTAGGGATGGGCAATAAATGCTGCTTAGAAGTGACACCCTCATCCCATGAATGAGTAAAGAAGAAACAAAAAGATAAAAATGATGTATGGTGGGATATTGAGGCCCTTTAGGCCTTTTCCACAAAATCCATTCTTGAACATTGCTGACCTGGTCAACATTTATTGCTCATTTCTAGTTGCTCTATAGCAAAGGTAAACAATCTCCTCTTGCCCTTCTTTGTCTTCAGTCTTTGACATGGTTGACCACAGTATACATCTCCTGTTCGTTTCTACTGTTGTTCACTTGGGTGGGTCTGCTCTTGTTTTGTTCTGTTCTTGTCTGTCTAATTATGGTCCCAGTATAACTTGCAAGGCTTTTCTTCCTGCCCCAAACCATTATGTCTGCCGTCTCTTTCAAAAATCTCTCCTTGGCACTTTTCTATTTTTTTAATCTACCTGCTGCTCCTGAAAGCTGTGTTTAGTCTTGCATGTCTGCTGACAACAGAGTTCTATTTCATGTGGCTAAATTAATCCGCTTGCTTATGACATCAAGTGGTGGATTGGATAGAAATTTCCTCCAATTAAAATTGGGTGATTGAATTTTCTTTTCTTGTTCCTCTACCACTACACTCTGTCTCCTACCTTCAAGCCAATTTTGCATCCAGTTAGCTAGCTCCCCTGGATTCCATGTGATCTAACCTTGCTAACCAGCTTACCATGCAGAACCTTGTCGAACACCTTGCTGAAGTCGATCTAAACAACGTCAACCATTCTTTATCAATCTTCTTGGTCATCTCTTCAAAAAAAAACTCAATCAATTTAGTTTTCCCACGCACAAAGCCATGTTGACTATCTCTAATCAATCCCTAATTTCTACAATATTTTGACCAATGCCTCCACTATCTTTGCAGTCACTTTATTCAAAACTATTGGATGCCTGCCATCGGGTCCTGGTGATTTGTCAGCCTTTAGTCCCATTAACTTTTCAAATACTTTTGTCCTTTGTGCTAGAGACTATTCCAAGACCTTTCCACCCATTAATACCTTTTCTGATGTCTCACATGTTTATGGTATCCTTCACTAAGAAAGCTGATGCAAAATATAGTTTAAATTGTCTGCCATTTCCCTGTCTGTTATAGTTGCATCTTCCAAGGGTCCCACACCCACTTTTTTTTAAAAATATACCCATTGAAGCTATTGCTTTTTTTAGTGCATTTCTTTAACATCTTTTTTAATCTCTTTATTGCTTTTTAGTTATCTGCTACTACATCCTAAAAAAAAAATCCAGATTCTTTGGTTTACCACTACTGTTACTTTGTGTAGCTTAGTTTCTGATACTCTTCTTTACCCACCTTTG